CCTGACGAGCGTGGGTAGGCAAGCCCGGCGAACACTGCTGTTAGGCGGCGCTGCCTACAACGTAGGGGTTCAACGCGCTTTCGCCGTACCGAGCGCAGTAACATGCGTGTTGGCGGGTCCTCAGCCATGCGAGGGGGCAAGAACTCCGTGAATAATGTGTACAACCGCCTGGGAATCATGAGGATAACAATTAATCGAAATCAACAGAAATCGCTCAAAGCGGGAAACTAGAGGAACTGGTACAAATTAGTCGAAATAAGCGTTTTTTACCGCTAAAAACTTAGGGATGAATTTGAGCGGACGGTAATCACTGGGATTCAAGAATTTCAGGAATCATGTGTACACTTCAAAAGGGAGTTATTGACCCCTCGCATCCATATGGCAGTTGCTTGCATTGTAACGCGCAGCAAGATGCGAAGATGCGGTTCCAACGTTCGGCTAACGTGTACTTTTCCCTTTCGGACCGCAGGTGAGCGCGCCCACGGTGAGCGCGGATCTGCAGAACGAGCTGGCGCGCGCTGTGCAGGCCCACGACGACCTGCTCGCGGCCTACGAGACCAAGCTCAAGCAGCACGGCATCCCCGTCGACGACCTGGGCTTCAAGCCGCTCCGTGCCAAGACTCCGGCGACGCCGACCGGCGCTGGGCGGGCTTCGAGTCCGGCTAAATAGAGCCACAACATATCGTATACGACTGAGCTGTCAACCACAAACCTTTTCCGGCACTACAAGTCCCGTCAAGAACCACCCCAATTACGCTTATTTTTCTCTCTTATACACACATTTGACACGTTTGTATCGTTCTTTCACCAAATACAGAGATTCTAGTGTTAGCATCGTGAGGAGATTCACTCAACACAAAAGCACATTTTAAGTATAATTTTATTTCTTTTGTAACATTATAATTTTACGTCTTTTTATTATTTTCTGTGATATTTTTGTTTATTTTTCATTGCTGAATAAAGTTAATGTGCCCTGCATATAGGTACTCTTCATTTTCTAGCATTTCTGGTTGTGTCCAGACGGTCTAAATACACAACCCTTGGTGAGTATAGGGGGTTTGCGACTTTCGCCCCTGGTGCCGTGGTGGCCATGGAAGTGGCTATTTCGTCAACAATAGCATGTGGGTGGCCAGGAAGATCGAGGCCCAGCAGAGCCCAGCAACCAAAGGTCGATGGAGAGGGGAGGGGGAGGGTTGTCGACCCCACACTAGGGGTGCAGGAACAGCCGGTCCATAACATGAGTCCGCATCGTCCACGTCAAGAGCACTCTAGTGACAGGTGCCGCAAGAGCGCTCTGTCCTCGTACTTCGGCGTGCTAGCCGAGTCCGTGGTCGGGCCACACCATCCCAATGCCGAGGGTGGCACTAAAGCCTCGACGGCCGAGTCCACCTCCAACACGGCCCTGGGGCCGAGCGTCGCCCCTCCCCGCCGTGGCGCCACTCAAGCACCCCTGGCCAGTTCGGACATCAAAAATAAAGGGTGTACCAGGAACCCCAAGCCGAGAACACCGAACAGGGCGGGTGAGTGCGCCACAGGAGGTAGGTTGGGGTTACAACAAAACTACACTCACTTGAGGGTGTCTTTCAGCCGACTGCCGACCGGCACGGTCACCGAAAGGTTAGGTGTCTGCCCCAAAGCAGTTTTTGATTTCCACTTGACAGCTGCCGAAAAACCGTCGTGCACCGAGAACCAGCTGGAGCAGAGTCGGGCCAGAAAGCCGTTGGTGGAGAAGCAAAAGGGTCAAGTGAAACACTCACAGCAGCAAGAAGATCAAGAGAGGCATTCGGTACTCGAAAGACAAAACTGTAAGTACTTGTTTGGGGAAGTACTATAGCCTCGGCTCTAGGGCGCTGTGATGAGCATGGCCCTTTTAAGCGCCCTCAGGACACAGTCAAGTGCCGGGTAGCTGTTTGCTGGAAGTTGACGACTTCACGGCGTACCCTACCTTCACCTCCCACCACCGGCACATCGTGTCCGGCCACCCCCCGCCCCATGGTCAGTCTCTCGCTCCACGCCCGAGCAGGTTCACTAGCGCTGCTAATCGCCCATATTGTCCCCTCGCAACAACACCTCTTGATAATGTGATAGTGTCGCCCGCCGATGCACCCGACGCCCGCCCATCATCGCCGGTGTACACCGCCTCCCCACGCCCGTCGTCCGCTCCAGCGGCGTCTTCGCCGGTGCCGCCCGACGAGGCCGGGAGCGTTCATATCCTGGGCGCGACACACCGCGGGCGTAGTATCGGCCTGTACACGGGAGGTACCCCACTTCCCCTCGCAGTAGAAGAACGCTTTCTTCCCGCTGAGTCTCGTCCCGCCAGCGAGGGCCGCCCTCCCGCGCAAGCTGCGGAGGGCATCCTACCGTCCGTCTCCAGGACAACGATGTCAACCTTGACGGAGGCCCTGGGGGCGCGCCCTGCCTCCCAGCGGCACATCCGTTGCATGCTCTCCGACTTGACTTTCACCCCTTTCACTGCTGTGCTACCGCCTAAAACACCGGCCGGACAGAGGGCTTCCAGAACGTCGTTGACTTCCGCGCCTCGAGCCGGCAACGGGCGGAGCTCATCCAGGGGCAAAAGAAGCAAGAGTAAGGAGAAACAAATAAAGCAACAGTAGACTGCTTCAATGCCGCCGGCTAGGGAGGCAACCCGCAATAACGAATAATCCCAGCCTGCCCCCTACATCAACTTTACATTTGAAAATTCGCGCCATTCGCGCTCTGCCTTCAATCTGACAACAAAACACACAAGCCATAGATTCTGTCCCAATTCTCGATCGGTTGCTGGTCGGTCGGTCCGGTTCGGTCCGGTCCCCGACCCTGACGAGCCGCGCCTGCCGCCATTCGGCTGCTACCAACACCCGCGACGTCGCGAGGGCCGCGACCGCGAGCGCCCCGCGAGATGACAGGCCGCTAGTCGCGAGGATATGCACCCCTACGACGGGGGTGATCCGCGGGGGTGATTCGCGAGCCACCCCATAGCGGGGGAGACTCGCGAGGGTAGCCCTGCGACCTGCGATGTCCTTGTCGCGAATGTGTGGCTGCCCTGAGCGGCTGGCGCGGCTCGTCAGGGTCGGGGACCGGACCGGACCGGACCGACCGACCAGCAACCGATCGAGAATTGGGACACAACCATAGAGTATGAGAAGAATAAAAGAATCTCGTCCGGTTGTTTAGGCTGTGCCTACTGCTAAATGTAAATATACATGTCAGAAGGTCTGATAAACACAATATTTGAAATGTCAGTGATCAGCTTTGCCAGATCATCATTTCGATAAGCCTTCAACCTTTTTAAATGCCGATGTGGTTGTTTCCCCCCACAAGATTACCCTCAGATGATCGCAGCGAGCGTCCCGAACTACTATCGGGGTATACGTGGCGTTTGACATCAGTGTCGTTCAACAACTAAGCCGCCGCTCTGGTAAGTAATTCGGTGTAATAACTGCAATGTACACGGCAATCTTCAATTAGAATTTTCTAAATTTTCTAAATTTTGCTCTACGCTGCGGTCTTTTTGTCTTTCGTAAAATGCAATTACACGTTTAATTAACAGAATGCTGTTGTGGTTATGATTCCATTGTCATAGTTGAGGCAAGTGATTCAGATTATGCATGTGTCAACGCCATCATTGCCATGTCACCAGTGTTTCTGTGCAAACAAATCACCTATGAACCAGTCACACTGATTGACAAAGACTTGCATTTTTGATACTGCTGTAAATTTAATATTTTCCATTGTAAACCACTCCCTTTATTTCTAGATTTGTATGTTCTTTGCACTGCTATATTCATGTTTCTATGTTTTTGCAGATCTTTCTAAAATTACACAATGTGTGGCACCGACTCAAAACTTGGGGGAATGAAAGCTCTCATTCTTGTTGGTGGGTATGGAACTAGGCTCCGTCCTCTCACCCTCAGCAGACCAAAACCTCTGGTAGAGTTTGCCAACAAGCCCATGCTTCTACATCAGATGGAAGCTTTGGTAGAAGTTGGTGTTCACGAAGTTGTGTTGGCTGTTTCTTACCGAGCAGAGCAGATGGAACAAGAGTTGAAAGAAGAAGCTGACAAACTGGGATGCAAGCTAGTTTTCTCTCATGAAACTGAACCTTTGGGCACTGCTGGTCCTTTAGCTTTAGCTAAAGAAACTTTGAGTGCCACCGACGAACCCTTTTTTGTATTGAACTCTGATATCATCTGTGAGTTTCCTTTCAAAGACCTTGTTGCATTCCATCGAAATCATGGTAAAGAAGGTACGATTGTTGTAACCAAAGTAGAAGAGCCATCCAAGTATGGCGTAGTGGTTTATGGAGAACAGGGGAAAATTCAAAGCTTTATTGAAAAGCCTCAGGAGTTTGTGTCCAACAAAATTAATGCGGGGATGTACATTTTCAATCCTTCCGTACTTAAAAGAATCAAACTACAACCCACAAGTATCGAGAAGGAGGTATTTCCCTACATGGCTGATGAAGGCCAGCTATACGCTATGGAATTACAAGGTTTCTGGATGGATGTTGGACAACCTCGAGACTTTTTAAGAGGTAGGACAATTTTGTATGTTTCAGAAATCATCTACATCTTTACTGTAATTACATTAACAACCATTCAAACTTTTTTTTTGTTTTAGGAATGTGTATGTATCTTACTGCTTTACGTCAGAAAAATGCCCCTGTGTTACACAATGGTCCAACCACTGTTGGGAATGTTCTTGTTCACCCCACTGCTAAAATTGGTCAGGGTTGTCGTATTGGACCAAACGTCACCATTGGCCCAGGTGTGGTCATTGAAGATGGAGTGTGCATCAAACGCAGCACCATTTTAAGAGATGCAACTATTAGGTGAGATTTTATTCTTGTCAGTTCTTTGTGGTTTGAAATTAAATTTAGTAATATACAAAACCAAAGATCATTTGCTCCATGTTTGTGTTTGTGGTGGTGATCTCTCAAGTCAAGTAATGTTTTGTCTATCTCCTGCATTTCAGGTCTCATTCCTGGTTAGAAGGATGTATTGTTGGATGGAGAAGTGTTGTGGGTCAATGGGTTAGAATGGAAAATACCACTGTTTTAGGTGAGGATGTAATAGTCAAGGATGAAGTTTACATAAATGGAGGGCAAGTATTACCTCACAAGTCAATTGCAAGCTCCGTACCTGAGCCACAGATTATTATGTAAGCACATTGCACATAATTATTTTTAATTGGTGGAGCTTCAGATTTTACTGTTTACTGGTCTCTGTTATTGTTAATATTCCTGAGCTTGTGTCTCAATATGGCACCTTTTGAGACATTCTGCTTAAAGTCAGCGATAGAAGTTAAATCAGACTGAAGAAACTGCTTCTTTACCCATATCAAAAATCAAACGTAAAAATATGAAATTTGTTTTTTTTATTTAAAATCCAACAGATATATTCATAGTTTAGTTTTGAGAGAGGTTAACAGTTTTCATATTCTATTCTTTGCAAATTGTCATTTTCTACAAACGTACAAGTACACTGACTACTCCTATCTTTTGTTTTCTTTTTTCTTGGGAGCAAGTAAAAGAGGCTTTAATCTAAACCAAAGTTTTAAATTAAGAATCAATTTCCTGTAAGATGGTTTGAAGAATCACAGGCTTTTCGTGACTACCACTATTACATCACTTATTAGTGATTTTCTTTTTTGTGCCATTTGCATTGTTTAAAAGTTGAACTTTACATACTTTTTGCAACTTGCTCAGAATTCTGATGTGTTGGGCCAAGCATTGAAAAGGGTTTTGTCATTTCTGAAGTTTATCTTACTGTGTGGGAGAACTTCCAGTTTCCAATGGCGGTTGACAATGGCACACATCGCTCAAAGTTTGCGACTGATAATTTGTATATCTTTCCTTTGTTTTGATAACCAATCCTTGCTACCTTTTTTTCCCCCACTCTTTTAAATCTGGAATCATCTGGAGTCCACTTTTGGAACAAGTAGCATATTGACTTCCAATGGTGGGTTATTTGTTTGTTAGACTAGTGTACATACAAATTGTATATTATTTCAATATATATTTTTCCTTGCTCTTTTCATGGTTGTCGAACAAGATTTTATCTAAAACAAATCTTATACCAGTATGTTTTACCCTATTAATTTGTTCTTATCAATGGAATGGCCCAGTAATAGTTTGTGTTGAGGTAGATAGGATTACGTCATGTTTCCTTTTACACATTTTTGTGAAATTAAATACCTTTTTCTAGTTTTAGCAGTAAACCAAACAATTTTGACCAATTGCTAACAACTTTTCGCTCATCCAATTTTTGGATGAAATTTTCTGCCGTGATTCTTTGTTAGAACAATTCTAAGGTACTGTATTCATTTTATTTTTAGATTCCTTTCCCTGAATTTTGTAGTGTCTATATTTTTATGTTTTCTTGGTGAGTATTTCTTTGAAAGATTTTCACATACCTTGATGGGGGCTTTCATAATTTTGTATAATATGAATTAAAAACAGGAACCATTCCTTGTGGATGTGCCTCTTTGGTCCTTTTGAAGTAGTACAGATTAAATGGTGGATTTAGTCTCCGTGAGGCAAGTCGCCTTACGAGACCAAATCGACCAAAGATCTCCTTTTCCATTTCAAGAAATTTTCCCAAATCAGTTACTATACCAAGAAAATTGTTTTTGAAAATTTTCATGATGCTAAGCTGTAGCCATAATTTCTGTCCAACATGTTTTTTTTAGCATTAAGCAAGTTTATCGATTCTAAGCACAACATTCTTTGCTTACCTTTGTTCTAGCGTAAGCTATCTGTTTGTATGCGTATGTTATGTAATGGCAACTGAGCAAATGTTACAGTTTTCTGAGTGTCTGTTTTTCACTTTACTACTGTAATTATCAGCATTTTTCTCACAGACTGGTATTTTTGATGTTCTGTTTCTATTTGTAAATATTTTACTGCATATTTGTAAAAAAAAAAAAAAAGGAAAAGAAAGAAAGAAAAAGAGCAATTAGAGGGTATGGTCCGAAATTTAGCGGAAATATATGTAATAGAGAGATTTTGGAGTGTCGGGCAGCGCGGCGCGCGGGGGGCGTACGTGTTTTCACTCATGTTTGGGTGCTAATATACAGCCAGACATTGTTAGAAATTTTAATCACCGGAATCAAAAAGAACAAAATTGACAGCAGTTAATTTACTACAGTGATTAGATCAAACTTACAGTTGTAGCCAAGAGCTCAAATGAGCTCATGAAATAAGAAACAGCATTCTATGATGCACAAATGGAGGTCCTGCTCCCCAACATATTATGAACGTAACAATAGTTGGAAAAAGAATAAAGATATAAAGGCATCCAAAATAAACTTACTTCTAGAAACTATTAGAACATTAATCTCTACGATTACACACTTCTTTGAATTAGTATCTAACTAGAGACAATACTAGATTTATAACTAGAACTTTAATGACTAGGATAGCAATAATCACTTGTTTGAATTGGTGTCTGACCAGTACAGAATTCATTTACATCAGTCTTTCAAAATCAAAATATCAAACATTATTTTAGGTAATTTGATTATAAATTGCTGTCTTCAGTGCAAACAATAATTCGCCGTTTGGATGTTATTCCTTCTGGAGTGCTTGTTGTGCTACCTGCAGTCACATATCCTAAATCAGGAGAATCTGCATTCTTTCGTTTTCGTTCTATTCCTCTGTTAGAGCTTCTACTGCAAAATGGAAAACAAAATATAATTTTAATTTTGATGGTTGGCATTTAATGAAATGTAAGCTGCTGTTAATTCTTTCACTGACCTAAGAATAACATTGGCACACAAAGTAAGGTCTTCGCATTGATACTTAGTAATAATTTGTAGTTCCTCAGTCCATTTAATTAAACGGAGCTGTTGCCTCGCCAAAAGTACACAGGCACATGCTACTATAGAGGGCAAGAACTGCATCATGCAAATATCTGCCAATCAGTTTCAACAAGTCCAAGAAATTAGATAAAAGGTATAATTTAAAAGTAACTTTCTTTCAGATAAATTTTAAACTTACCTAGGAGGGCAAGATCTAAGTAATCTTTTACTGCTCTCTGAGCCTCTTGCCAAAATGTTTCATAGGATAGAAATTCTGTTTGACACCAATCCTTCTTAGAAACGGCAAATAATGAGTAATACTCAGCAAAATGAGCTGCTGTAGGTAAATTTAATTTCCACCCCAAAAATGACAATAACATGACTTCCAAATCACGAAATTCCGCTAACTGATATCTGTTGTTTACAACACTGTTAAATTGACTGGCCTTAGGAATCCTCACATCTCGTTCTTCATATTTAGCTAGCAAATAATGTAAGGATATATAAAACTTGCAGAAAATTTTTTTTAGAATATTATAGACGTAGAAAAGGAAAACCAACAACTTACAAGCAACTTGAAGGCAAACAAGGGCAACAAGATGTAGCCGATCCAGTTCAATATTGAAGTTATCCATGAAGATGTCTAAGATATAAATAGCTAGATGCACTGTGCTAGTGCAGAACATAAATTTTTCAGCCCTTGTTCTTATCCAGCCAACAAGATAGGATCTGTGTTGAATCTATAAAAAATATACAGTACAAATATCAATTGTAAAAAAAGTGAACATATGAGTTTGTGCTAAAAGAGGCCTACCTGTGGACTACGATATGCGAAAGGGATTCTATCCTGTTCCCTGTCTCTGTTTAATTCTGCATGTTCAGCAGCATATTCAATTGGCCACGGTTCTCTCGGAACATTTAACATCTAAGAAGAAATATAGAAAAGAAAATACTGTAGTATATGGGAAAACAATAATATGACGTTGGCTGATGCAGCTGAGTCTAATGCGACACGACTTTAACCCAATCACGAATTCTGGCTAAAGGGCTCAGAAAAGGCTAAAATGCACATACAATCATGATATTTCAGAAAAATGTAAAATCTATGCATGTCATCAAACGATTCTCCGTGCAGAGCTCGCCAAAAGTCGGGCAAGCCCACATCGGAACCCAGCAGCGGCGATTCTTACACAAGAGATATGCATGGGGGGAAATATGACATGCAATATATGACTGTCAAGTAGTTGTCGAATCAGAACTCACAATAACGGTATTAATACAACGTCAAGCAAGTTTTGTTTACCTTGCGGCTTCTTGAACGAAAAAGGGCCTCCATGCAACAGGCATGTCCAGCATATGCCAGGGTGAGACGGGATAGGGCAGGGTGGGTAGGGGTGGGGGGCGTGGTAGTCGTTTTGTTTGTATTTTCAAGTTAAGACTCGTTTGACAGGACATTATTGTCATTTTTCATGGCTGGAAATTCTTCAGATTACATTCCACACTTCACAAAAATACGGATATGATTATATGTTGATAACACAAAAATATAGCATAAACAAACGACGAATTTGACATATGCTTGTGTACAGTACGACTCAAGCATGTGTCAAATGAGCGAGTCACTTGGTATGAAGAAGAAAAGAAGAAGATGGCGGCGCGGTGGCGTGGCGTAGCGCCGACCCAAAACAAAGCAGAAGCACTCTCCGCACTCTGCCGCTAGAGCGCTCGGGTCGCTGGTGCGCCGGTTGAGGACTTTCGCTCGTGTTGTACTTATTTAGCGTTGTTTTCGATGCGGTTTTTTCCTCCTTAACTAATTTTTCACGCTCTTTACGTTGGGAGAGTTTATTTGGTCCGAAATTTAGCGGAAATATATGTAATAGAGAGATTTTGGAGTGTCGGGCAGCGCGGCGCGCGGGGGGCGTACGTGTTTTCACTCATGTTTTAGCACTTGTGAACAAAAATTATAAATATGTATTCTAATTCTGGATATGTATTTTCCCAGGTGAGACTTATTTAATTTTTACCAATTTCTGCATGATATCCTCGCAACCCTAACCTCTGTTATATTTGTTTCCAACAGGTGGCTGGGTTAAAAGGGCTCATGAACCATGGTTCGACCTGTTACATGAATGGAGTACTGCAGTGTTTGATGGGCAGTGATGATTTTATTGCTTCATTAGCGAGTACTAATAAATCTGGGCCTGTGTCCTCTGCACTTTCAAGAACCCTGTTGTCGTTAAAATCTGAGGGAGAGGCTGAGGATATATCAGATTTGGTGGTGAGTTCTAACTCTTGTTTTGTTTGTGGTCAATTAAATTTTTCAAATGCTAATTTGGGACTTCTCTTTAAGTATATTATTGCTCAACACTGGGAGTTTTATCGGCCCAACATGCAAATGGATTGTGAGGAGTTCCTTACGTTTCTTATTTCTACCCTTCACAAGGAGATGAAAGTGGGTACTTTAGTTTCGATACATGTGTATATCCCAGTTCCAATCATTCTTGTGGTTGCCAATGTGATCTGTTTTCTTCCAGACTGAAACTACTACCTTGGATGTGGTGCATACGGGGGACATGCTGGAGGACTGTGTCAATGTGTGGACTTCTCTTAACACCTCGATTATGTCAAGCCTTTTGTACATCCAAACTGTGACAACAGTATCATGTTCTAAGTGTCACTGCTCTTATGGAGAGTATTCAGATGTCAACAGTCACTTATCCGTGGAGCTGCCAAGCAACATCACATCCCTCAAACTTGAGGTAAGATTTTATGAAGCACTGCTTAGGGGTCCCTATTATCGATAATGAGAGTGAGAAGTTTCAACATGGATTAACTTATTTATACTCAGGACTGCTTACTGTCATTCACCGAAGAGACGGACCAGGCTAAGGCAAAATGCAGCAGCTGTTCAGGTGTTGGATTGAAACACAAACTAACATTAGGGAGATTACCACCAATATTAGTCATACACTTAAAGAGGTATGTTATCTATTTAAATAATGTTTCACTTGCTGTCCATTTACCATGCATTATTTTACAGTGTGCCTAGAAATGTTTTTTGCTTTATTTGCTTCTCTTGCTTTATGCACCATTTACTTTGCACACTGTCATAGATTCAAACGACACTACAGTGGTAGTTTTATTAAAAATGGGGAAGAGGTACTGATTCCTGAGTGCTTAGAGTTAGCTCCTTACACTGTAGACCTGCTTCAGAGTAACAGTTCTTACAGTTTGTTTGGAATGACAAACCACCATGGCACGTTCATGCACAATGGCCATTATACTGCCGTATGCCACAGAGGAGACCGGTAAACAAGATAAAAAATTATTTTGATTTATTTTCTGTTTTTGCTTATAAAAAGGGTGGCCACAGGTTTTAATGTTGATAAGCAATCAATCAACCTTTTGTCACAGTTCTCATGCAGCTACCTATACTTAAGGTATTTTAATAGCAGCTCAGATAATTTGAAAATTTGTGGCCAACCACTAAAAGTAATTTAATTATTGAAAGTAGTAATTATCAAGCCATGAGGATCAGTCCTCATGTAGAATGCTTACACTCCTTTTCTAACATTTTTGCTAGGTGGTACCGTTTTGATGACACCAAAGTCTCAAACACTACAACTAGGCAGCTGGGCAGAGCCAGTGACTCTGCTTACTTGGTGTGGTACCGCTTAAAAAAGGACATAGTTGGTGACCTTCCACTTGACTCTGATATAACTGACAAAACTACAACCACTGAATTAATAAATAATCTATCTCCATGCAATCCAGTATGCATTTGCATTGTGATTACATACTTGAACTCTTGAAGGTACCATTACTAAAATATGTTTCACTTATTACAATTTTTTAGGACCAACACTTTTTAGATTTTGACATTGAAAGTGAAGTAGATATGTTTGCCATGACTGATGAAGAGTCCGACACAGGAAGTGACGATAAAGTGTTCTCAATGAGAATTTTAACTGATGACGATAAATTGTTCTCAAAAACAATTTTAAGTGATGACGAAAATAATAATTTGTTCGATCCTGCCACAGGCATCAGTAATTTAACTGTAAGTACACCTTCACTGTCTGCCTTTTCTTGGTGTCATAATTGTTAATTATGTTGTTTAATGAAAATATATCTATTCTGATTCTGAACTTACAGATCCAAGCAACACCTCAGCCTCAGCTTTCAAATCCCAGCCAGGTCTCTTCGGTCTCTTCCCAGCAGCAGTGTGACCACCCACCATATGACTTGGATGTTATGGATCCGCAGCTTTCTGAGGGTGAGGTTACAGGGGCAAAAATTAAGGAAGATGAACTTGAAAAAAAGGACAATAAAAGCCTTATGAGGTGGCTTCATTGTCGGAGACTTCCTACTCGGGGAAATAAGGCAAAGCTAATAGAAAGGTTTGTAATTTTTGAAATTAACTAAAATGCAGTACATTTTTCTATATTTAAGCAACTTGTTTACTTATTTAGGATAATGCACCACGTGAAGAATGATAAAGGAGGGAAAATCTACCAAGGGGTTGATGGTGGTAAATGGTATGAAAGGAAAAGGAAGAAGCTGATAGCACAGGTTAATATATCCACTTGTTACAATCAATGGCTCAAAAAATAATGTTTCCTTCTTTAAATACCATATGAAATTTTATTTTATGCAGGCTCATCAATCTAACCAGAACGCTCTGCCTATGATGCCCGTTGGAAACAAAGTTTTTCAGCCGTTCCCCAGCGTGCACATACCAAACAAATATTCATCAGCCAAGGCCAGAGATTACCTAGACCTTATACCTAATATCAGATTCTCGTATGTGGGTGGTGTTGAAAGTGAAGATGGAGATGGAGATGAGCAGGTGGTGGTGGACTTCTCCCAACCAACACAGCAAGATAGGAAAAATATTTTTGTGGATGGGACGCTAAAAAGAGCAAACCAATTCATAGACAGTGGCAGAGTTCTGGGGATTACTGACTGCATAAGAAACTTGCATTACTTTGTTAAGGCAGATGTTCGAGCATCATATGTGGCAGACACCTATAAGGTGTCTGTAATGATATCCAAAAATCATGGAAATGTATGCTTTGCAGAATGCACATGTAAGGCGAGAGCACTTGCAAGGTGCTGCCACATAATGGCTGTTCTGCTGCTCATTGGTCGTCATGTTGAATCAAAAGGACACGAAGGTAAGTTCACATAAGTTTAATCAAATAAAATCCAATATTTTCAATATTGACAAATAATAATTAAAAGTATCATAGACAGTAAAATCAATCTATCAATCATACACATATTTTAAAAACTTTGAACATAAATACATAAGTATTTACAATCTGAAAACTATGGAGTGAAATTAGTTTGCATTATCTTCTGGATTATCATCTTTTATGAAAGGTTGCTGGAAATTCACAAGATAAGCACATACCCTTACTAGATCACTTGCAATTGGTAGCATTGAATTGGGAATAATATACCTAATTAAACGAAATTGTTTAATGAGGCCTATAAATGTTTCCACATGAATTCTTGAAACAGCAATAGCTCTGTTCAGTATCAGCTCCCTAGCAGTAAAATGTGTTCTCTGATCAAGAAAGGCAGGGATGAGGAGGTTTACTTCTCTCTCGTCACAGAGGTCCTCACAATCAAAGCCCCGGTCAGCCATCATGGCATCTTCAGGCTGTAGACGGTCCATAAGGCCACTTTGTATTAATAACTGCCTGTCTGAAATGCTGCCCTCATAACCTTCACTTAAAAAAGACAGGCCACCAAAACAAGAAATCACAACTAGAAATTTAATTGTATTTGCAGCCTTGTAAGAAGAGTAGGTATTATTTTGCTGCTGAAAATGTTTAGGCTGTTGAATCTTAAAGTGAGTGGAGTCAATGATGACCCTGAGGTTTGGAAACTTTTCATAGCATCTTGGCTTGAGTGGATTCTGGGCTGCAGCTGATGTTAACATGAGGTCGTCCAATTTTTTAAATTGTAGACTCATAAACCTTGTCCATATGTAACAGATTCTTGATGCATGATATTTGCTTATATTGAAAAGAACCTTAAGGTCCCTCACTGGAATACCTCTCCGTAATCTCAATAGAGTGAGAAATAGTTTATCTTGGGCAGTTAACTTCCAATTGAAGGGCTCCCTTTCAGGAGTCTTAGCATCGTACTCGTACTTGAGCTTGTTGCATACCTCATCTCCCCCTAAAAACTGGTATATCATTTCAAATACTTCCTGTGAAATACCAGTATAAAATCTAAAGTCCACCTCTTTCATTTTCTTGCACTTGGCGTAGCAGAGGAACCCCCTATCACACTGAATACCAATTGATCTGAAGGTTCTCTCCTGTAACAAAGTAAAAAAAGTACCATAAGTACATAAAACTAACACTTGAAATTTTTGTTTGCAGCTGTCACTTGTACGGGGAGACTGTGCTACTGGCTAGCACCGGGCTCAGCAACACACAGACAGCCAGGTGTTGTTCGTGAAAAAAATGAATATTACAAGAAGAGTGCCAATTTCAAAAGGAGAGCATACTTTGACCCCCGCCCAACTGTCCAGCAACTAGATTGTGACCCGGAAAGAGTCTCAGAACTGCGTAGTGCCCTGAGTGGAATGGCGACCAAATTACTGTGGCATTACCAGCTTCTCGAAAGCCCCATCATACCTGAGTCGTACCCTGATGTTGTTTGTACATATCAAATTGCTGAGATGTGCAGTCATCTCATCTGGAACCTCAACAGTGTGAGAGATCTATCTACAAACAGACCAATTCACCTAGTCAAAACTGCAGGACAGTCTGGTAGTAAATTTTGGCATTCAGAAAGATCTGTGCGCCTTACTGCTTCTGTGGCTAAAAATGTTTTGGGACTGTCTTCTGACAAGACTAGATTGAAATTTTTGAGGAAGCATGTGTGGGGCCTTGACCCATTCAGAAATGAAGCCATGGAACGAGGGAGTCAACTGGAAGACCCAGCCAGGAAAGCGTATACCCTCCATCTTAAAGAAAATAATGTGGACATTGACATTCTAGAAAGTGGAACTTGGGTCAATCCAGCTTTTCCTCAATTATCATGCAGCCCTGATGGCCTTATTGTTGACACAAACGGCATCACTCGACTGTTGGAAATAAAGTGCCCTGCTGTCCTCACAGAGATGGATCCAAACGAATTTGAGAAACTGCCCAAAAAACAGTTGTCTAACTTTTGCATAAGAAGAAATAAACAAACTGCTCAGCTAGAACTTAAACCCACTGACAAGTGGTACTATCAGGTGCAAATGTCTCTCTCAATCATGCAACTAGAATGGTGTGACTTTGTGATATACTCAACAGTGAAAGAGAAACCAAAATTTATGTGCATTAAAGTGCAGTACGATGAAGAATTTTGGAGAGAGAAGAGGGAACGCCTAGTCAACATTCACCGAGAGTGGCTTGTTCCAGAACATTTCCTTGCAAACACTGTTTTCAATCGGGTCCCAACTAGATTGATGTATGCACCATTTCATGAGGACCACTCTGACGATTTCTTTCTGTTTGAGGCACACGCCACTGATGAAGACCAGAGCTCTCTAAAAGAAACTGAGGATGCTTTTCTTATTCGTTACCGTTCAAGATCACAGAAGTTACTATTGAAAATCTGTAACACTTAATTGTGTGACATTTTTAAACTAATTGTCAGTATTTTATTTATGTTAATTAATCAAGACTGATTTTAGTTATGTGTATGTGCACTGTAAATTTTATCTCACACCTGACTTTACCAAAGGTTTAGCCAAATTTCTTATATTTACAAAACTGTAACACTTTTTAAAAATGACTTATGTATCCATACATAATTAATAATTGCCACAATTAAAAAGGAAATGTTTAAAAGAACTAATTTCATTGTGAATTTTAATTTATTTCCTGATTGACTTAAGTAGTTTTCTTCTCTTACCTGGAAAGTTACATTGGGCTGTGGGAAACCAGAAGGGGATGGAGCACCTCTTTCACTTGCACTGGGTGTTGTAGGTAAAGTGGTGCTATTATCTTGGCTTGGAAAATAATTTAGGAAAAGTTGCCTGGAGGTGGTGCTACAATCTTGGCTTACTTGTGAGCTATAACATCTACTCTTCACTTCATCATCAAGATTATTGTTCTCATCAGAAAAATCTACTGAAGTATTATGAGAGGGCGAAACAAGATGAGCTACACCCAAGTCATCACAGAGCTCAGAATAAGTTTCCTGCTCCTGGGTGGCTGCTGCATCCTGGTAAAGGGAGGCACAAAGATGACACTCAGCCACTCTATCTCATGTCACCAACATTCTAAAAGATTAACAACCTACCATCATATTATGCAAGATTTTACGAGCAGATCCTCTTGCATGGGACCCTCGCAGCCTCCACAACTGCTTCTTTGGGGAATAGTTGCAATTCTTGGGAATAGGTTTTGAGACATTGGTCTGAGGGGGAAATGGGACAGTGAAGTAATTAGTCACTGATAGTCTACAATCAATACATACATATTATACTAGTTTATACAACTTACAAGCAACAGTAATGCCTCCATAGCCAATTTGGATGACGGTGTCAAATCAGCCACCCGCCTGTTTTTGACGGGTGGAGATTGTGTTCTTGTGCTTGGAGTTAGAATTCTTTTCCTGACATTTAATTCGTCATTGAACTCACTCTCTTGGATGAGGTCTTCCTCAGCAATGTCAAACTGAAAGACGCAGCATTTTTATTATGGAATTAAATGTAAAGAACATCATAAATGAATCATAGACAAGTACATGTTCTACTTACATCACACTCTTCAACATATTCAACAGGACCATTTTCTCTCCCGTTTAGAAAGTGGCAGGAACACATGAAGCAGTTGAATGCAGTTACTCGTTTAGGTGTTAAGTGATCAACAGCGCCTAAGTGCAACCACTGAGCTGTACGGATCCGATCTTTGGGTAGAGAATAGAATTTGCAGCGTCTTCCCATAGCTTTGTTGTCGACTTCATTGTGATCACAATTCTTGTAGTGACACTTCCTTCCTCTCCCCATGGTGAAAACCTAAATGACAAACATGGGGCCATGTAATACAGTTGCCAACAACTAAAAATAACATTCATGAATGCCTGCAACACTTACCGATGACGACTAAAACATAAATTAATGACCTACAGTAAAATTCTTGAAAAAATCAACGTAGATTTCACAAACAGCCATAGGCCAGGACCCTTAGCCAAACTCGCGCGCTGCCCGACACTCCAAAATCTCTCTATTACATATATTTCCGCTAAATTTCGGACCAAATAAACTCTCCCAACGTAAAGAGCGTGAAAAATTAGTTAAGGAGGAAAAAACCGCATCGAAAACAACGCTAAATAAGTACAACACGAGCGAAAGTCCTCAACCGGCGCACCAGCGACCCGAGCGCTCTAGCGGCAGAGTGCGGAGAGTGCTTCTGCTTTGTTTTGGGTCGGCGCTACGCCACGCCACCGCGCCGCCATCTTCTTCTTTTCTTCTTCATACCAAGTGACTCGCTCATTCGTCGTTTGCTTATGCTAAATTTTTGTGTTATCAACATATAAGTATTTTTGTGGGAATGTAATCTGAAGAATTTCCAGCCATGATAAATGACAATAATAATGAGTCCTGTCAAACTGTCTAACGAGTCTTAACTTGAAAATACAAAATTTTAATTAGAGTTACAAAAAAACACATAAAAATGGGTGCCATCTGTCGTAGCCAGATCTCCAGGCTATGTCATACTTCACCCTTATCCTCCCTATAGGCAGTCCTCTGAACTCTGTATAACGTAACGCCTCAGCAGTAGGCAAACCAGACGACACACATGACGTTGTGGCTGCCTACTGCGCGGGCTCGCCGTGCTCCAGTCGTTGGATGTGAAGGTGTGCAACCCGCACCTTGCCCGCAGGCATGACCAATGAAATAATTGGCTAGTAATAGCTAATATTCATTATTTCCGTTAAATAGTTTTTGTTTTCTAATTTTGAAAACAAAACAAAAACAGTGTGGCTAGTGGCTAGTGCTGGTTTAAGTGTATCGTTGAATTTCTCGTAATGTCAATAGTCTCATAGCCTCTTTCGGAGTCTTCAGTTCACACTTTCACATTCGCAATGATGAACTCGTGATTCACATTCGCATGCATTTTGTAAACAGAGACGATGGAAACAGTCGGGTCGGGTTTCAAGGCGGACTGTTGAAAACTTGTTCCTGTTTTGACAAAGACGCAGAATTTCAAGTTTTTCAACTCAAGGTTTTTTGATTGCTCTTTTCTTCTGTTCGTTGCATACGTCTGCTAAGGTTTCCCTACAAATAATTGAATTCTTCGGTCCAACTCTCAAACGCCGCTTTCCTTATCCCTTAAGGTTTAGCGCTGGCTGGGGAATTTGTTAATTACAAGGTCCAAAACCCGGTATTTGTCACGATTCAGCCTGTTTCCCAGTCTATCCTTTACTAGTGACAACATTTTGAACCCTATTTAGTCGGTTTTATGAAGGGCACATAACCTCACTCTTTCTGCCACATTTTCCTTGACCAGTTTTCCCGATGATTGTCGTTTGCGCGTTAAATTTGAGTATATCAAACCTGTAGCATATTTAATGCCTATTCTAAGATGTTTTTGCACCTGTCAATGCGTATTTAAATTTGATTGGTTGTCTCTTGGTCATTCCCTAATTTTTGATCTGTACATTTTTAAATATCTCTTTTAGCTGCACCCTCATCATGTTGAGAAATATGATCAACAATATAGAAGTGTCTGTGCCCAATGATACTAATCAAAACGATGACATGCTTGATGATTCATTCGATCCTATGCGAGATGATTGGGAGAACATCAACATCAACTCGTATGAGCATGGTCCAGGTGCCAACTTGGATGTAAATTTGCAATGTCCAAGACACAGGTCAGTCTCTACAGTTGTCTTCCTACTTTCTTTGTATAATCAGTGTTCTTTTAACTGGTTCTTCTACTTCTAGGGATAAAAATAATCAAGTTGTATACAAGATAATGGTCAATAGAATTCCTCCTGGCCTTACACGGGTAATTCTTACTTTTATAGAGATAAGCGGCATGTACCAAAACTACCTGTCTTTCCAATCTTATCATTATCTTTTTCAATCTTTTTTACTGCCTTGCAGGTTGGTTTAGAAAATCTCTTTCTAAACTTTGGGACACCCAATGTGTTAAAATGCCAGGAACAAGCTTCTGACAAATTAAACTTTGCCCTTATATCATATAACACCTTGGCGTAAGCTTAGTTTAAATTACAAATCTTGCAGTATCCCTATCTGACTAAATGTGTAATGCCCTGTATTCCTTCTCTTCTTTCAGAGAGGCGATAAGAGCAATAAGGTTTTTTGACACAACTACATTATTTAATCAAATGAAAGTGGGTTTTGCACGTAGTGATGAGGAAAATGTAAGGATACAAAGAAAGCGTCAAGAGGAGGAAAGACAGTTTGCCAATATGGTACAGCAGAGAAACAATAATTATCAACCAGCCCTGCGGCAAGATAGATCTCCAGGAAAAACAAATCGTCCACTTTTAAGGTAAAATATGGGCAAGTATTCTTTGGTTTATGAAAAATATTTTTTATTGACATCTGTTTTGGTTTTAGAATGCTTGGCCGTGGCTTTAACCGCGGTAGGTTTATTTTGAAAGCTACCAAGGAAGCATCTGATAGGAAGGCAGGGCTTCAAAATTGTGCCTGGTCGAATGGGGTTCCTGACTTCAGAGATTCCTCTGGAATGTTGTATGATCCTAAGTCATATAGATACAATACCACCAATAAAGTTTTGCAGAGTATTGTTGTCACTGCAGGAGGAAATTCACTCCGTAAGGTTGCAATGGGTCGTGGATTTGTTCCTCCTGAGTAAGTTATTTCTCTATAGCTTTGATGTATTTCAAGAATTTTTGAAACTGCTCACTTTATTTCCTGGAGCTCATACATATGTGTAATTTCAGAAATTCGACTGTTGACTTAAACCATGACAAGCCTGTAAGTTATCATTAGAGCATAAAATTTCCTCCTTCTTTACCAACATACTCACTGTCCCACTTTTTTTCTTTTTTTCCTCTCTTAAAAGTTATTTGGAGTTATTGGAACTGATATTCAGGTACCCATACAGCCTTGTGTTGCTTGTGGAGCAGAAACACCCCAAAAATGTTCGCAGTGTGGAGCTCCATATTGCTCAGTTCAATGTCAGAAGGTTGATTTTCGAAGGCACAGGCCTATGTGTACTCCCAAAGAGTAAGTATCATCAGTTTGTTAGTCCACTTGCTTTTTTGCATTATTCTTATCTTACAGTTATGATACTGGTGCATGATATGATAACCAATAAGTTTGTTGTCTTTTATTTAGATCCATTGACATTATTCTTGAACCAAATCTTCAAAACACTGTGAGGTCGGCCCCTCTATGTCAAAACAACAACCCAGTTGAGGCTTCAACAACAATCAACACCCAACGATTTTGGTAATCCTCAACATAAATTATAAGTTTTGGTTTTACATAATGTTGCATTCCTCATATAACCTCTGTACATCATTTAGATACTCTAAAAGTGCTAATCTCAATAATCCTCATCAATCATCTAGCGATCTATACAATAATTTAGTTGTAATCACAATTATTTGCTCAACTGCAAATTCCAGAAAATTAATTTAATTTTGATAACCTATATGTAGTTAACTCTGGCACAAACTTGACCAGCCATTTTATAAATTTATATGTGGCACAAACTATTGATATATCGTTGAAAAGTTTAAACCGTGTTGGAGAGTCTTGTTAATTGGAGCAAACGAAGTGTGATTCCTTAGAAATGGTTTCAAATACCATTTTCTGTCATTCTTTTTCTTAATGTCTACATCATATCATAATCAAGAGTACCATTGATTATCATAATAATAATTTTGCACATGGCTTTGAAGTTTATACTCTTTTGACAAGAAGTCTGAAATTAACCCTGTTTTTTGCATTCCTATTCTTCTCTCTTGAACAGGGGGAAACCAGAGAAGAATGTTCTGAGTTTACTCCAAACTGGAACTGATTCTATATTTTCTATCAACTCCACATCAGATGGAAAATACCATGGCACGCTTAGCTGTGGTCCTATTTTTGAATTTGCCCAGAACCTTTTTGTAGATTTACCTGATGAAATGAAAAAGTCTTTTTACAATTCACTACTGTGGTAAATATAATGATTTATCTCTTTATTTCCATTTGTACCACTCTAAAACTAGTAGCAATACGGTCTTATTTATACTTTATGTGTCTTTGTAAAATTTTAGGCCATCAATGGGTATGCTTGTGGCAGTACGCTTTGAGGACTCAATATGGCGTGGATACATAATTAACATTCCGTGTTTGGGATCATCAACCAAATACACAGTAGCTCTCTGTGATTATGGTAAAATCGTAACAGTTGACATATCAGATCTTTTGTCACTGCCGTCTTCCTATCACACTTTGCCTGAATTGGCTGTCACTTGTGAAGTAGTCCAAGCAGTTGCTCTAGTGAGTTCCAATATTTGACATTTTATTTAGCTCTTCATTGTGTCTGTTTCTTTGTTGACTGACCATAATTGTTCTTTATCCTATTTGTAGAAAGATAATTTGGACTTACATATCGTAAGCTCCTGTAATAGTGGGGCAACTGCCAAAATCATGGGTGAAAATAAATCAGAAATTGGTATTGTATCTTTGTCGCCATGGCTGCCGTCTTGTGGCGACGATCTTATCCCAGTTTCAATTGAACCGCCTTGTATGGTAGTTGTCACTGCCTATCATAATCAGGGGACAATCTATGTACGACCCTTAGGCAAGAATATTCAAGAACAACTTTTCACTCTGATGCAAAAGGTGGCAACTATAAATGTAACAAGTAAGCATGACTTAATTAACCATTAAGTCTGTCAAATATTGGTGTAAGGGAACCATGCTCAACTCAAGGTGTAAATTTTGGGCAAAAGTTAAATCGAAGAATACTTTTGGTTATTTTCATTTTTCATTTAGGCCAGCCTATCCAAAGACCACCATACAAAGGAGAAATGGTTGCTTGCCGATACAAGAAGGATGGCAACTTCTATCGTGCCATTGTATCTGAGGCTGCATCAACAAATGAGTATTCAGTTTTTTTTGTGGATTTTGGAAATGTAGATGTTGCATCTGCACTAGATATGAAACCCATATCCCAAGAATTAAAAAATGTAAGTGCTGTATTTTACAATCTAATACATGCAATATTACCTGTATTTTGCTCAATCTATCTGCAAGTTTATTTTCTTTTTTGTAGCATCCATGCATGGTAATGCCTGTCAGCCTCAAAGGTGTAAAGCAGGGTCCCCTTTCTGAGGATGCAATTCAGTTGTTAAATCGAATTTCATTAAAGGAGCAGCAGTTTAGGCTGGTAGGAACATGATTTATTTTCTTGACAGTGTTACTATTTCTGTAATGTTCAAAGAGCGCTAATTAATTTTAATATTTCCTTAATTTAGGAGTGCCCAAATACATCTGTAGAAGGGGTAGAGCTATATTACCCAGACAATAAAAGTCTGAACCACCAACTAAATGAGCTTCTAATGCCTGAATGGGAATTGCAAATGAAGAAGGGAGCTGAACCCCACAGTAAGTTTGACCTTCTACAAAAACAAAAAATTTATCTTTGACTTCATCATTGATCAATTTACTAATTTTTTATATTTTTCCCACTTCTTCTCTAGAAGGAGAAGTTTTCTTAATTGATGGGGTGCCTGTTCTGCCTTTACTGAAAGATGGGCAGAGAAAGGGCACAACCAATGTTGTTGTGGCAAATATAATTTTTGATGGGCGGATTGCTGTATGTCCCATTGACAGCCCCGAGGTCGAGCATGTGCTGCAGACCCTCGCATTTCAAATTAATGAGTTCTGTGAATCAACAGATCCTAATATGTGCTACAACCCACGTATACATGAAGTGTGTTTTGCTAAATATAAAGGCAAGGGTATTTTTGATGTGAATCATATCTCCTGTTTTACTTTGAGCTTAGCACTAATTTCTTATTGTTTTTCAATCTAGATGGGTTGTGGTATCGTGCCGTCAATTATGAGACAAAGACTCAAACACAGAGCTGCCAAGTGTTCTTCATAGACTATGGTAATTCTGAGGATGTAGAATTTAAAGACATCCGGCGCATGGTTCCCGATTTTGTGTCTATTCCAGCAATAATGTCAATGTGCTCTATAGATGGTAAGTAAATTTGATTCTATTTTATGTCTGTTTCTGAGAGGAAAGTTCAACCCTCAACAGTGCTTAGAAGATTGTACTTGAACTTGATCTTAATGAATGTGTCTTTCATGTGTTTAGGAACTCCAGATGATGTTACTTCAGAGACAGTGAAGAGGATTAGTGAATTGGTTTCTGTCAATCAAGTATACCAAGTGGATGTTCTGGAAACATTTGCCTCCGGGGACTATAAAATACACATACCAGAAATATCCAAACAGTTGATGTCTGAATTCCGTCGTTAATCTGCTGTATGTTGTTTTTATACTTAACCAATTAAGATGAACTACAGCTTCAATATTCAAATGTAACTATGAATCAATATTACTTTTTTTAGACATCCCTGAATTGATTCTGCATGTAAGACAATTGCATACAAATTATGCCTATGTTCAAATTTTCTATTTTTATTGTTATGAGACTGATCAAAAGGAAATCAAAGATAATTTTTTTCTGACTACCTTAAAACACTCAGACCAATGTTTGTTTTGTTAACAGTATTTCTGAAATAAAAGATCTGATATTTGTAAATTTATTTAGATTGTGTAAAGAAAAGCACCTTGGGTCCTTCGGTCAGCACAGTTTAGCCAACGCTCGAAATCAACCGCCTTATTATCTCCGGGAGAGTGTTTAAACAACTTGTGGTTGGAGGCGTTGGATGCGACACCTCTTCTGCTGGTGCTTAGCAGGTGGGCCGTCTCGTTGGGCGCGCGAGCCCTGCGGATTTGCCTATGTTTCCTCTGCAAGGCTTAGTATTCCCGACAAGAGATGTTGAGTGCAGCCACAACTACGTAGCTACAAACAGGGGCGTAAGTCGAAGCCGTGCCTGGTAGCAGTCATGAGTTATGTTCAACTTGCTGTAGTTGGAGATAAATTCTTTGTACCCATGGAGTACAAATGAATCTAAAATATCCAATGGTAAAATAGAACTCAAAGGTACGAAAAGAATTGAATTAACCAACCACCCACTTGTAGTACAGTAATAAGACAGTTTTCCCAACATGAGAGGAATCATCTTTGAGTTGGTAGTTTGCATGAAGTTATTTGCAAGGGCCGAGGCAAGGGCTCTCCAATTTCTGTGGAAGTGTGCACTCTCACTAGGGTGTATTGAAAACAGGGTTTTCTTCCGCGCGGATTCAGCGGGGTGCGGAAAAGTGGACATTTGGGTCGTAGAACACAATGCAAAAAATCGCAACTCGATCGGACAATATTTACTATCCCCGCAACGCAAGCACAATTTCGGAAATTCACATAAGAAAACCAAAATCGAAAAGTAGGAAAAATCAAAAACCAAGTTCACCCCCTTAGTAAACACGCCATTTTACGACCTAAAGGCGAAAATTTCGTCCGTTTGGACGTAGCTCTTTTACTTTTCGAGATATTGGCCGATTTAAGCCAATTTAAGCCTTTAAAAAAAATATGCCCCAAAAATGGCTTAAATCGGCCAATATCTCGAAAACTAAAAGAGCTACGTCCAAACGGACGAAATTTTCGCCTTTAGGTCGTAAAATGGCGTGTTTACTAAGGGGGTGAACTTGGTTTTTGATTTTTCCTACTTTTCGATTTTGGTTTTCTTATGTGAATTTCCGAAATTGTGCTTGCGTTGCGGGGATAGTAAATATTGTCCGATCGAGTTGCGATTTTTTGCATTGTGTTCTACGACCCAAATGTCCACTTTTCCGCACCCCGCCGAATCCGCGCGGAAGAAAACCGTTTTCAATACACCCTAACTCTCACATCAAATTTAAAAAGTCATTTTGGAAAAACTTTCAATATTATTTATTTAAGCATATAACAGTTATAAAATCCGAAAGTAATAACAAGATCACAGTACAGGGCATTCTTAACAACTTTTCTTCATTTCGCATCTCTCCACGATTACTAAGGCTATTCCCTTAGGAGCATGTAGACAGCTTTACATCTCATCTTCATCACTAAACAGGCATGTCCTCTCCGTTACGTACACCTTTAAACTATCCTTTATGGGATAAAATAACCCCAGTGGATACCAGTCTTGATCCTGATGCCGCCCTGACGTTAGCCAGTTTACAGTCAGCGCCTGGTGGCCAAGGCAGAGCCTCTGAAGGCGATGTCCGACGCCTCCCAGCTGCCCTTGAAGGAGGCCTGCAGCAGCACGGTCTCGGTGGCCCGTGCTCCCCCGCTGACAGCCACGACATGCTGGTGCTGGGCCGTGGTGAACGCGCTCAGCACGCCGTGGAGAGGCACCGCAGCAGAGGTGCGGCGCACGAAGCCGGACACGCCCCGGTACAGGAACACGACGAGACTGTCCGTGGGGCAGGTCGTGGACACGTACAGCGCCAGCTCGTCGCTCGGGAGCTTGGCGAACTGCAGCGCGTGAGGGCCCTCTACCGCGACGCTCACCCAATGCGTCCAGCGGCCGGTGTCGTGGTCGAACCTGCTGATGTGCACCATGCCCTCGTGGGGCGCGTCCTGGACGTGACCCGAGGCAGAGGCCAAATACTGGACGCCGCGGTGCTCCACGGCGGCCACGGCGGTGGCGTTGACGACGCCCAGAGTCTGCAGAAGCTGGAACTTGTCGGCTTCCCACCGCCACACGTAGACTGCGCCCTCTGACTCCTCGCTCACACCGGAGGCGACGAAGACATGCGGGACGCCTCGGACCGTCAACGACGCGGCCTGGGGAGGTACAGACAAACGGTTTATCAATCCAACTATATGCAGCACCAGAGCGGAAAGCAAAACAACCGTTGCACTCACGTGTGTCGGCCTGGAGACTGGCAGAGCGTGATTCACAACGTCATCTCGACCGGCGCCCAGACACTGCACCGAACAGAACCCGGTCGCCGTGCCAACCCCGGGGGAGCCGCGGATGAGGCAAGACATGTCGCCCACCATGGTGACGGACACCCAGGCGCTGGCGAGAGCATCCTGCAGCAGCTTGGCGTGCCCGAGAAGGCCGTCGCGCATCAGGCCGATCACCGACCCGTGATGCACCCCGGAGCGCTCGTCCGTCTCCCAGTACATGGCGTTGTGGCCGGCGTAGCGCGCGGGTGCGATCAGACGGACAGTGGCCGGCAGCGAGACGTAGTGCAGCGCTGCGGGGAAGTGCCAATGCATTACACTGTATTTACACAACAACCTGGGAGCGTGATTGGAGTCGCAACTTACTCGGGTGGTTGACGAGCATTCCAGCGTCGGCTTTCCAGCTGTAGAAGTGCACCTCCAGATTGCCGCCCGGAACAGTCTCCTTCACCATGGCGATGGCGTAGGCCTCGTCGTCCACCTCGCCTGGAGCACCCGCAGCCTTGCCCAGGGGCACAATGGCGCGAACGTTGGAGCGGAACATGGCAGCAGCGTGGTAGTAGTTGAGGTAGTAGCCCTGGGCTGCAACACGAGCAAGGGGCGGGTTTAGTCGGGCGGGGGTTGGAGCGAGGCGGGGGTTGGAGCGAGGCGGGGGTTGGAGCGAGGCGGGGAGGGCGAGGGAGCCAAAGTAGTACCTTTGAGGCTGCGCTGGACGTGCTCGGCGGTGCGCAGCAGGGCGTCGTGCTTCTCGGTGTACAGGTTCAGGCCTGGCGGGTTGAGAGCCTCTTCGATGAGCCCAGACACGTTGACGCCCTGGAAGAGACGGTCCAGCTGGACGCTCTGGGCGCGCAGTGGGCGGTCGATCACCAGCGGGGTGACGATGTCCACGTCCGACGTCTTGTACGCCTGGTTGTTGAGCAGCTCGGTCATGTCCACGTCGTTCACTCGGCCGACGACGCCGAGCTGCTTGACGCGCAGCCCGAGCCCCTGCAGCGGTGCGGGTCGGAAAGTCTTGGCGCCCTGGATGAGCTGGTCGGAGTGACGAAGCAACAGGTGCTGCGCGTCGACGCGCACGCCGGCAACAAGGCCGTTGACACTGAAAGGAACGAAAACGATGAACTCATTGGCGACCACCAGAAGAGACGAAGAGGGGAGAAAAGACTCACATCATGTCGCCGGCCACATGGGGATGAAGCAGCGTCTTTGCCCCCTCGATCGTGTAGTCGCCCGTGACGCACACGGCACCGCTCTTCCAAGCGTTCAAATCCACGCCCTGCACGCGCACGCCCTGCTGCAGTCCGAGGTCGGTCACACGCAGGCCGCGCACACTCTTGGCTCCCGTAATCTTGTTGTGGTCCATGGCCCTAGAGGAGGAACACAAACTGTCAGCCAGAGCAGAGCAGGAGAGCCGCCGTCCAAGTCAGGATCCGTCACTTACTCTTGGAGCTCCTTGTTGAGAACGACGTCCTTGTCGAGGTTCAGGCCGCTGACGGTGCCGTTGAGCTCCAAGTTACCCGAGGCCGTGACGACGCCGAACTGCATGTGGGCTGTAATGTCCTGGTCCGGGCCGTCCAGCAGGACGGCGTTGGTGAATTCGCCGAGGTTGATGACGAGCTTGTCGTCGCCGTAACCCACTTCCAGCAGACCACCGACCTCCACGGGGGCGGTGGGCGAGGAGGTGAGCTTCCCGTCCACCACCACGCCGCCGTCCACGTTCAGCTTGGTCGTGACGGTGCCGTCTTTGGTCAGGCTCAAGTAGCGCTCCGCGACCGCATCCAAGTTGACCCCGTCGATGCGTTCCTAAATAAGGTGAAGTTAGAATAGTTGGTGCACACTACACTCCCCTGCCGCCCGCCGTGGCGCGCATAGGCTGTCCCGCGGCACACGCCTGCCCGGCGGGCCTGCCTACCGCACCGCTCGCAGGGGCTCCCGCCGCGCACCCACCTTGACGCTGACTGCCGATTGGAAGTGCAAGTCGCCAAACTCCATCTCGGCCATGATGCGCGCAGGCTTGTCCCGCAGCCAGGCGTTTTCCATCAGCTTCTTCATACTCAGGCCGTTGATGTCGTGCTGCACCAAGGGCTCCTGGTCCATCAGCAGGTCGCCTGCAACACACGGCACAGTCAGGCACTCGTCGCGCGCTACGCGTCACGCCACTCGGGCTCGAGTACTCACCCTCCACGGCGAGATGTTGCTGCTGGTTGACGCTCGTGGGCGGCGGGTTGGCGAACGCACAGAGGTCCTTGAATTTCTCCCCCGACAGCGTGCCCTCCAAGGAGAGGCCCTGCGCCTCGAGGCCACCGGCGAACACCAAACGGCTCCGCACCTCCTGACTGAGCGCCCCGCGAGCAAGCAGCGCGTCGGCCAGGTCCACCCCGTCCACCGCACCGGCCGTGACGGGGCCGCGAGCGACCAAACCGCCCTCTGCAACCATACAGGAGTGACAGCAAGCTCGACTGTGTGCGGGAGACAGGGAAGGGGTTTGGGCCATGCTTACCGAACGAGACGGAGCCCAGGACTAGATTGGGGTCATCAATGCGAGCAACACTTTCGGCAAGGCGCGAGATGTCCACGTTGTTGACCTTGCCGGCGCGGACGCCAGCGCTGGCCAACACATTGCCGTGGATGGTCTGCGGTCCCCATAGAGTCTGGTCGCCGTCGAGCTCCAGCCAAGGTGCCGACCACTCCGCGTCAGTCATCCGGTCCAGCGTACCTGAAGGAACGACAACGTCACTGTAAAAACTGAAAGACTGGCAAATCAACGACAAAGTAAAGGACTCACCAATGAAAGTAAGATGAGCAACGGAAAGGGGCTGGTTAAGGGTGATGCCGCTAGGGAACTCGAAAACCTTCTCGGTCTCCTCGGGGTGCTTCGGCCGTGGCACGATGCCTGGTAGGTTTCCTCCCGTCGTAGCTGGGTCTACGTGGAGACTGTCTGCGTGCACGGTCTAGGAAAGGCAAACTCATGAGAAGCGTTGAACGAGTAAGTTGGTGACTGGTCGGTGGTCACCATGTGGTACGTAACGCACACCGAGCGCGCGCAGCACCCCAGGACCCACCTGAGCGAAGGTCTTGGGCCCGTCGATGACGGTCACCTCCCTGCTATCTTCAAAGACGGAATCCTTCAAAACGGTGCCGATGTTGACGCCGCCCAAGGTGCCATCAACAGCCAATTTCTTGACCGAAAGCGCGCCTTCCACCACCACGTCCTTGTCGATCCGGACGATTCCGTCGCGAGGTGCCTTCTGCGCGCGCTGCGCCCAGACGTCCTGCCACGACAACCCACCCAACATGGTCTGGTTGCTCCACGCCGCGGTCGTCTTCACGAACGGGAATTTCTTCAAGCCGTGAATCACTTGGTCACCCGTGGTCCGCAGCGACGTCACCGCCAAGTCGACCAGGTTCACGCCGTTCACTTCACCGTTCAGCACGGTCTTGTCGGTCACCGTAAGGCCGCCGTGGAACGAGACTGGCTGGGAGAGGTGCACCTCGATGTCCGGGCGGTCCTCTATCCAGGTCGAGGTTGGCACGCCGTTCAGGTTCTTCACTTCCAAGTTGGACTTCACCTCCAGATCCTTGATAACCACGTTGGGTGGGAGCGGACTGTCTAGATGCACGGCGTCCCTCAACACGTTTAAGAGAGTCAATCCCGACCCAGGGTCCACCACGTCCGTCGCATACACATTGCCACCAAGTATGTCAGATCGACCAGTAATCTGCAAACGAAAAAATTGTTTAGACGTGAGCACTTTTGCTTTTGAATGCGCACAATTTGCTCCACTGAGCGCCACTTGCCGTCACGTCGCCTGTGATAACCCTATCCTCCTGGATGACAGTAACCAGGTCCTCCTCCTCGGCGGGCAGGACGAGCCCGAGGACACGGCCGTGGATGCGCCCTTCTTCCGTGACGGTCATCCTCTGCAACTTCTTGGAGCCCGTGACGCTCTGCGCGCTGCCACCCGGGCCGTTCGTCAGCAGCAAGTCCAGGGAGCCGTCCTTTGCCACGTCGACGCCCACAAGCCGGTTGTACACCTGCGAAAAAGACGCGCACCAAGGAGTCGCAAACAGACCCAAAGCTCCCCCTGCGCTGCGTACGACGAACTCTAACAAACCTGCATCGTGTCCGCCTCGATGGGCCGCGTGAACTGCAAAGACCCGGAGACTGCCTCCAAGTCCTTGTCGATGCGAGCTACGTCTTCGATGCGGGACCCAGCAGCCGTGCGAGCTGACTTCACCTTGAGTCGCTCAAAGGAATGTTCACCTGCAAGCGGAGTGGATCAGGCGGCTGGTACTTCAAGGGGGTGCGGAACTGTCGGGCGGCGGACTCACCTGTGAGCACCTGGTCTCCACGGGTGCGCAACGCGTGCTGACTCACTCTCCTGATGTCCACGTCCCCAAAAAGGCCTGCCACATGGATGTCATTGACAGCCAGCGCCTGCAGGAAGCTGTCGCCGGCCTCTACGTCGGCATGGGGTGGAGTAGGCTGCGATACGTCCAAGCGCATGCCATTGACGTGCCCGTGAAGGATCAGCTTGTTCACCTGCCACTGCGTACTGGCGATGCCTAGCGGGGGAGCAACGAATACACAGTCAGGACAGTGCAGAAGGACAAGCAATGAGTGGACAAGTAGGCTGGCTTCATGATGAACTTACCCGATAGTCTTTGATCGCCGTCCTTGATGACGACGTTGTCGGGGTTGAAGCGCACGCCGTCGATGCTACCGCTCACGTTCAGCGCCCTCCGGATCACCAGCTCATCCACATCTAGGATGCCCATGATCGTCTTCGTGTCGACCAGGTTTACCAGTGGCGCCTCCTCGCCCAGCACACGCCTGAAGCACAAGGAGGGGGCCGTCAGCTCCCGGGGCTCACTCAAGCGCGTCACTCCCCAGAGATCGTACTCACTTGCTGACGAGGCCGCCGGGGACGATCGCGCTGGCGAGGTGAAGGGTAGTCAGGTGCAGATCCTGGTCGGTCCGGACCGCCCTGTGCACCAGGTCCTCGGCGTCCTCGCCGTTGAGTAGTCGCACGCTGGCCTGTCCGAATCTGCAGCCTCCCGACGGGCACATCACGGTGGCGTTATCCAGAAAAACTTGAGCTGGGTAAGAAATGAAAAGTTTAATTTTTAAAATACTCTTTGGCATGTTTGATCCAGGGTGCCAGCGACCTTGCTAGCTGATTCCTGACCGTCGACAAAGTTGTTTTCGTTCTTCTTGAGCGCGCGCCTTATGGTGTCATCTGCCTGTTCAAGTTCCTTGGTCCTATGGTACAGGTCAGTCGCGAGGTCGTTCGCCTCTTTCACATACGCGGGGTCGATTACTTGCGTCTGAAAACGGAAATAATTTGAAAGGATTAGAGGCCGTCCACTTCGGAATCTTCCAGAAAGTACGACCGTTTTTGATCGTAATTATTATTTACATTTCGGGAGCTTAGCGCCTGCAAGACTCGTGGTAGGCCACCCCACAGTACTCGCATGCACTGCAGGCAAGATGTTGCCTACCCATACGGCGCTATGAGAGCTTGCCGAACTTGGCAGGTCCCTAACGAAGAATGTCGGAAGAACTTTCTAGATTATCCCTTATCACGTCACGCTGTTTTCGGCACATCGAGGAGAAATATAAAAGGGGACCATTAACACCCCACCGAGGGGTACAGATTTCCACCACCACAAAAATCCAAAATTACGCGGAAAAGAATTGAGAGCCAAATATCGCATATCTTGATGCGTATTCTCGTTCGATGCTTTAAACTATCTACGTAGGACACGTGAAAAAAGTTACGACCACAAAAGCTGACAAAAGCAACTAAAACTAAAAACTTGACATTTAAAAAAAATTGACAGTACATGCCCCAAAACACGAACTTAAAGATGGAAATAAAATACCTTAAAGTTTCTCGATATCGGGGCAAGCTAAACCAAGACCCTGGTCCTAAATTTGTGTCGTCTTGCTTCTACGATCCGTTCCTTGCGGTGAAAACTTTTTTAAAGCCCGAAAATGAGACCAAGTTCGCGCACTGCACCCCTCCTCCACGACGTCACGGTACGTCACACATGACCGCGACCCCCCTCTCCCCCTCAGCGCGTGACGTAACATGTGGACCAACCCTTAATAAGCAGGGAATCAAACATCGATCGCAACGGGACCGACACGAGGATAACTCACCGCGTTGACGGTCACAACCTTGATGGTGCTGTCCGACTCGAAGGTGACAGAGTTGATCTCCACCACGGGGCTGTCCCACTTGGGCGCGCTCCGCACCCTCTGCATCAGCGTGTCCACGGAGTAACCGTCGAGCTTCACCATCTCCCCTTCACACCAGCGGTGGAGCTCGAGGTACAGTTCGTCGAGTGGCGCGCTCAGCTCGAACCGCAGAGAGTACACGTTCACCTGCGCTCCGTCGTGCTGCTTGCTCGCAACCACTGCAATCACAACACCATAATAGTATTTGTACATATCTCAGGGATATTTCACGACATTTACTCCAACTATTCTAGGTAGTTATTTAACTTTCCGAAGGAACATGGACACACTGAAAAGGGTGCCCACACCCCATCGCTCAATAAACGCATCAATAAAGTAGCCAATTTCCAAACCACACGTTTTTAGGGGTCTCTCACCGGCGAGCATTTCCGACTCGAAGACGACGGCGCGTAGTGAGGTGACCGGACCAGTCGCTACTCGTTGCTGCTGGAACCTCCAGCCGTCGTACTGGTACGCCAGGATCCCGTGCGCGTCAGCTCCCAGCAGGACCGTCTCGCCCCGGGGGCCCTGGAAGGGTGTCCACAGCGAGGCCCCCGTCAGCCGGAAGCTCTGGAAGGGCACGAAGAAGCCCTCCGACCACTTGTACAGCACCGAGTTGGTATCCAAGTTCCGGACTTTGTCGGGTCCTGAAAACAGGGGAGATAAGGGTGAGAATTTACAGCCAAGTCGTACAGGTCGTACCCGTATCCAGAGTTCAGTATCCTTACCTTCATAAAATGCGTTGGCGATGACGAGGAAGTAGTCCTGACCCCGGGTGCGATTCATTGTGAAGAAGGCGACATCCACAGCGGCGTGAGTGCGGAGCCGCTGGTGCACCACGAACTGCCCCCTCACCATGTCGAAGCGATAGATTGTGGAGTCGATGTTTGTCTCGTCTGAAAGAAGAGAGATTATTTAAACTAGTCTCCTCATATTCCTCATAAAGTAGGCACAGCATGCATCACTCCCTTACACTGGTCATTGATGTGGTTGACGACAGCCAGGTACTGGTTGGAGCCGATGGTGAAGGCGGTCACGGCCTTGGCCCCGCTGGTGGGCAGGCGTTGTATGATATCAAGGTGCTCCCCGTACCATTTGTACACAAGCGTGTCGGCCGAAAACGAGAAGACGCCCGACGCGTTGGTGAACTCAGTGGTCACAGCAAGGTAGTGCGCGCCCGAATACTCCCTGCGGGCGATTACGATATTAACAAGGACGAGCAAACAAACTAGGACAAACAATTATTCACCCCACAAATAAGGAAAACAATCGGAGCAAAGTTAAACTTGTTGGATGGGTCGTACGGTACCAGAAGGCCAAGTCGCTGGGGAAGGTGGTCTCGAGTGTTTCGACGGCCACGAGAGTCCGGCCATTGAGAGACAAACGGTACAGGATGGACCCGCCCTGTGGCTTGTCGCGGTGCTGCGCCATCCTCTCGGACGCCACCAAGTACACCCAGCCCTCGATCTCCTGCACCGCCAGGGCCGACGCCCCGAACGCGGGGACGCGCGTTTGATACAGGAACCGATTGCCCTGCAAAGCATTGCAGAGGGGGTGAGCGCCAGTTCAGCAATCCGTGTTAAATAGAAGACTGTTAGAATGACCGTCCGAAAAAGAAGTGATTACTCATTGATTCGCTCACCATCAACTTGTACAAGACCAGGGCGTTCGCCAAAGAAGTCTGCGGGTGCTCGCCGTCCGCCTCGAGTGCAGCGGCATACCAAGCTTTGACGCCGGCCTCCACGCGCGGAAAGAGCACCAAGTCGTTGGGGAACTTGGCGGGGATCGTGAAGCGTTCCACTAGCGGCGTCCTGAGTAGGTAAACACCTGTGGACAGAGCCCGCCTCCAGTTCAACACGCCCACCTCACCCTCGTCGCTCGCGCTGAGAAGTGCGTTCGAAATACCTTGCGGGTCCTTGGTGAGCGCTGACAGACGGTCGGTGGGCAGGTGCCGCTTGCCACGGCCCGCGACCGCTCGCGGAGCATCGTCGGCGTCCTCGTCCGCACTCCCGGACGTGAGGGGCAGCGAGTTCATGCCGTGCGTCCGCTGGACGAGCGACAGGTACTCGGAGACGCGCCATGACCAGTCTTCGCCTGCGAGGACATGAACCTCGTGAGGGACTTATGGGCAGACGCACCGGAGGAGTCAAAGTGCCGTGCCGTTGTACTCACCCGCGTCGCTGATGGCGCTCACTTCGTCCGCGAGGAACGCCGTGTCCGCCAGGACGTAGCTCAGCGGCAGGCTGTTGGAGGACATCGTCGGCGACGCGGCAGCGAGCACCGCCAAAGAGGCGAGAGCCACCGCGGTCGCCAGGCTGGCGACGGGGACCTCCGTGCGCGGCATGACGTCGCCGTCTGGCCGGGCCTGCCGGTGAAGGAGTGGAACAGTCAATGAATACCCTGCCCGATCTCTACGCGCACAAGGACAACAAACGGCGCCCTCGCACCGCTCACCTGAGGAGGGAGGCAGGTGAAGTCAGCGTCGGTGGACGCCGGACGACTGACCCGCCAGAGCGCCGGCTGCTGACCACCTCGCCAAAGGCTGCGTCAGCGAACGGCACTCCGGCTGCGTCCACAGCGATGGGAGGGGGCGGGGCGGGGAGGAGTGTGCAGTGCACGGGGAAGCAAGGACAAGTAGAACACCTTTTCGTGTATGCTATCTTACAATAGACTGTCAATAGTGTACTTCGGCTATACGCTAAATGTATATGTTCGAGCTAAACTTCAACCGTTGTATCGTTTTGTACGAATTTGTGCACAGAAATGTATGATTTCGCACAGAGAACTGCATGAAAGAGCTCAAATTCTCGCTAAAATGAAATTCGTGCGAAAAAAAATACAATGACACTTTTAGTGTGTACCGGACCGGAGGAAGAAGAACGGCGGGTAAAATATTAGGGTTTATGATTGGCCCAGCCTTTACCCCCACTGCCCCGCGCGACGCGGATGTGGAAAGCCCTCCACCAATTACCATTGCACAAATTACTTTTTTCAAAGAAACAAGGGGGGGGGGGCATATATACTATCGCTGAGAGCAAACCGCAACCTCGAGGGGACAGGCGCGGTTCAAGGCCCTTCAGATTGGGGGGGGGGGGGG